GTATGCATGTCGAGTAACGCTTGTTCCTCTGATTCGCTCTGCATGTCTCCTAAGTACCTGAAACACTCCAAATATGCACAATGTATGCAAGATATGCATGATATGCATAAAACCTACCTAAGTATGTAAAACATGCAGAAAGGGATCAATATGATGCGAATCAACAAGTGAATGATGCTGAAAAGATGATGAATGCATGCTCAAAAAGTGATGAAATACAGACTTATCAACTCCTCCAAACTTAGTCTTTGCTTGCCCTCAAGAAAAGAAAAAAGAAACAAAGTGGAAGAGAGGTTTGAAAATGGGGTCTCAGAACCTGTAACTTGCAAGATAGAGCAGTTAAAATCAATGTCCTGGTTGCTATGTCTTTGATGTATGCTGAGAGAACTTTACTTAAAGACTTTAGACAAACTCATCAAATCCAAAACTGGATATATCCCTTGATCTACACATGCATTCAAATCATTCATTCCTTTTGGCATTCATTACTCAAGTATATGAATCTGGTTGTGCAAGGCTTAACAAACTCACTTGGCTAGGCAGAAAAAAAGTTTTGAGAATCAAGAGGGTTTAAATAATTTCAGGACAAGGATCTCTCAATGAATGGATTGAGCTTTAGGGAGAATGCTAAAGGTAAGGACCAACAAATGCATACAGGAATAAAACCTTGACTACCCAATGGTTCCCAAGTGCTTACTCCTAAACCCGAATGATCCTTATGTCTACCCTTCAACATCAATCCCATTTTTTTCTTTTTGCCTTAAGAGAAGTTTCTTATTAATACTAGTGGATAGGGGGTTTCTTTTTTACTATGGTTCTGTTTTCTTCTTACGTTATAAGACATCAAAACTTTTTTTCTTTCTTTACATCCCAGAACCATTCTCTGTATATCGTGCTATCCCCACAAAAATCAATCACTAGAGTATAAACTTCTAGAAAACATTCTCCTCTTACGGACAAAACTTTTTCTGTTTCTCTTCTTTTTCCACAATCATTCCAATCCCAAACCCAAGTAAGAATCCAGACATAGTCCTATCTGATTTGAAAGTGAAAATCAGAACTACTCAAAATTTTAATCCTGTTGGGTCATACCTAACACGCTCTCCCCAAGCATAATCTGGTAAAAGACCTACCACTGAAAAATTATCAATTGGCTTGAAAGAAAAGGATAGGTTGTGGGTATGGCAAACTGATTAAAAGAAAGATCACTTGGATCAACAAGAGTGGTGAAAGGAGGAAGATGATCCAAATATGTATGTGGTGACCATGAGCATGCAAGCAAAACACAACCAGATATTTGCAAGTCAAGATTAAGTTCTTATAAGGTAAGGAATGAGATCATATCACAACATGTTTCAACCAATTTCAAGAATGCTCTCCATGAATTCCAAGTTTGTTTCAGACTTACTTCAAGTTCAATCATCATGCATCAAAAAGCTAACAACCAGGACATTGATCTCTACTAGTGAATCATAGCAAATCAACAAGGTGTAAATCATCATCGCCCCCTATGCTAATGCAACAGTCCTACATGAAACAGTCTAGACTCAATCATAATATGCAAATGCAAGCTACATGATCACTCTGTTTTTAAAGATTTTTTTCTGAAAATTTTTCAAATTTTTAGGGGTTTTCAATGCACATATATGAATACAGATTATATGCTAAAAATTCAAAATAAGAAAAGAGAACACAACATCAAATGTCATCCCAAACCCTCCCCCAAACTTAAATTACACAGTCCCTTGTGTAATAAAAATTTGAGAGTTGGTTTGAGAATCAAACAAACAAAAGTATGAAAATGCAATGGATATACAGATGAAGGTGTGGAGTGGTACCTTACTGAAAATAGCAGTCCAGGTACTGAGTCATGGACTCGCTTGTATAAGCAACTGGTGCAGGTTGCACTGGAGGAGCCTCTGTAGGATGCTCAACGTTCTGCTCGACAAGATCCGCAGTGAGGTCTTGGAAATGATACGCACCTGGATCAACAATTAGGTCCTCAATGTGATCATCGGCTTGATCCATGGTCAGATCTTCAACATGATGCTCGTCTGGCAAGTGTGATGAACTAGCTTTTGCCTTCCGTCTCGCTGCCTTCTTCTTTTTTCTTTTCTCCTTCTTCTTGCTAGCCCTAAGCTCAGGGGAGGATTGTCTCAGAGGAGAAGAAGAAACATTATGCTCTCTATACTCATAGGCGGAATGACGTGATGGAGAAAGAGTTCTGTAGCGTGATGGGACATCACTCGTGGACAAATGGCGCTGAACTGGGCTAGCATCCTGCGGAGTAGTGCCTGCAAATGCTGTGGTGGTGGAGGCGCAGCTAAACTTACTCATGAAGCTCTTCATCTTTGACTTCATAGATTTTATTGCCTTGTCTTGCAGCATGTTCCACTTCTGAAGTGTACTGATACGCTTGTGAGCCAATACCAAACTCTTGCCTTGTCTAGGCGCTGTGTAGTCCTTGAAGTGATACCTCTCTGGTCTATACTCATCTGAATCTTCTTCCATCTCATCATCCTCTTTCTCAGATACCTCCATCGCTTCCTCACCATTTGTCGTGTAGAGAGCCTCTGCAGGAGGGGTAAACTCAATGTTGCTTCCTTCGAGTATCCTTGTGAAGGGAATACAAGGAAGCAAAAACCACACGTCACCATGTACAGGGTGAGTGAAGTAGTACATATATAACCTGTTGCGTTTCTCCCAATGCAACCATTGAGCTTGCCTCAAATTCTGAATGTCGATGAATCTCGGTGCCAATAGGCTCTGAACTCAGCGGGACGCTACAAGCTTCCAAGATGACTGTCACCAACCCTCCCATACACATAAATCCTTGAGTTCTGCATCTGCTCAGCTTCACTACCCAAGTTCTGTAATTGAGTAGCTGGTGCAACATAGTGAAAGATGGGGATGTATCAGTCGTATCACCTCGCAGTAGTGTCCCATCTACTGAAGTTAACAAGAGATCTTTGAGTGCAAGATCAATCATCTTCAGCTCCCTGTTGATCAGTGTTCTTGTTGTCTCCCTCGCGAAGAACACGTTTGCAATTGATCGATGGAAGTAGCGGATAACTGGACTTCTGATGTGGTTGCTCTTGGTCCTATATGAAGCGAACTTCTTATCATTCCCAATCGTTTCCCAAAGAGCCAACAATTCATCCCTATCAATCCTTTGCCCAGTCCATGTTCCATTAGGGAATCCAAATAAACCTTCTAGCTCTCTGATGGTCAGCAAATACTGATGGTGAAGGTGATGTATCACAATCCTCCATCTGACTCTATGTCCGGATCATCCTCATAAAGATGTATGGCAAGCGTACAGAGGAACTGAATTGTCTCTTCTTGGTATGCGTTTCGTGGACTGGTCATGAGAGTGCGGAGATGACAATGCTCGAACATATACTCGACATCATCAGAGATAGCCAGCTCAGCCATTGTCTGCAGGCAAGGGTACCTCGTGTCCTGAAACTCATGCTGCTGAAACAGCTTGTAATACTCCCCCGGGGCTAACCACTTCTCTGTCTTCTTCTTATGCACTGACTTACGAGCTGGGACAGGTGGATGCTCTTCAAACTCATAATCACTGTCGTCATCCTGCAGCTCCATTGGTTTCTTACCTGAAGACTTATTGGCTCTGCTTCTTGCCTGAGAAGGACCAACACCAGACGCTCTCTCATATGCAGCTTTTCTTCTTCTCCATATAAACCTTAGACATAGACTGAGGAGATGCACGCTATGTTGGTTTACAACCATACTTCTCACGCATTTCATGCAACAAATCTCTTGACATTGTGATACTGAAACATTTGGAACTCAAAGCTAAAAATTAGCCGGTTAGTTATATAAATAACGACTGAGTTATAATCATGTTATGACTTAGTTATATAAATAACGACTGAATTATGGCTTAGTTATATAAATAACGACTGAGTTATAATCATGTTATGGCTAAGTTATATAAATAATGACTGAGTTATAAGCAAGTTATGGCTCACTTATGTAACGTGATCGGCTCAGTTACCTCTAATAGTTTTTCAACACCTCGTGAGAGCGTTGTTAGCTGTGATTTCGCATCCTCTCTCCGTTCAGCAAACCATCTAGTCATCATATAACGTATGGATTCTAACAGTCGAACTATGGGAAGACTTCTACTATTTGATAGTGCTTTGTTCATAGATTCCGCAATGTTCGAAGTCATTAGGTTGTACCTTTCACCCGGGAAATGAACGCGCGCCCACATTTGCACCCCAACTCTTTGGAGATATCCATGTAGTTCAGGATGAAGCGCTTCAATCTCATTGAATGCTGAAACAAGTATTTTTGTACCCTTGGAGTTCAATTCCCCAATGCGATGTAGCATAAGAGGTATCCATCCAAATGGATGTATTGAAATCAATCAGGATATAGCAGAACTAATCAAGTCAAGCCAAGTAATTTAAGGTTTTGTTTAAAGAACTCTAATGCATAACAGTAAACTAAAGAATCAATAATGAAAGCAATAAGTAAAAGCAGATAATCAATCAGATAAACAAAGGGTCTTAAGGATGGGCTAATGGGGTGATGAATCATCTTAGTATCTTTGGGATGCTTAACATGCTCAGATAGATCTATTCCTAGACAATGAACCACTTAACCTAATCAGTCCAATCTCTTGGCAAAGATTATCAGATCTATATCACTTCCCAATCTCAACTTTCATTGATGAAAGATACTATAAATAGGCATAAAGAACAAGCTCATTAATGTCAATCTACTCCTAAACAACCAATCTCTTGGGTAAGCAAATAGATCTCTGGCATTAGTTGATCACACATTCCATTTGAACACTTTTTGGGTGCTAGAATGTCTAAGATCTAATCCCACATGGTTAATGCTAAGATAAGGGATAGTCCCGCCAGCAGTCCCTAACAATAACTTCGAAATCAAATGCAGCCTCATCTCAATGATACAAGGAAATAAATTCCATGGATTATCAATGGAGGATCCACTCGATCACCTCGATGAGTTCGTTCGAATGTGTGGCTTAACCAAGATCGAGTGAGCGAAGATGGGTTCAAGCTGCGATTGTTCCCTTTCTCCTTAGGCGACAAGGCTCATCAATGGGAAAAGTCCTTGCCAGCCGGGTCAATCACGACATGGGACGAGTGTAAGAAGGCATTCCTATCCAAATTCTTCTCCAATGCAAGAACCGCCAGATTAAGGAATGATATCTCTAGCTTCGCTCAGCGTAACAACGAAACATTTTATGAAGCAAGGGAACGATTCAAGAGCTATCAGTCACAATGCCCTCATCACGGCTTCAACAATGAGTCGCTACTTAGTACTCTCTATCGAGGAATACTACCTAAGTTTCGCCTACTCCTCGATACTGCTAGCAATGGAAACTTTCTAAACAAGGATGTTGAAGCTGGTTGGGAACTTGTGGAGAACCTAGCTCAATCTGATGGCACGTATAACGAGGATTATGACAGAATTGTTAGAGGCAACAATGACCAAGAGGACAAGTATAAGAAGGATATGAAGGCCCTTAACGACAAGCTCGATAAGTTTTTGATGAACCAGCAGAAGAATGTATACTTTGTTCAAGAGGAGGAGACCTTCCAACCTAATGATGGGGATTGTGCTAACAATGAGGAGGTGAGCTATATCCAGAATCAAGGAGGTTACCAAAAGGGTTACAACAACTACAAACCCAACCCGAATCTCTCTTGTAGAAGCACCAACGTCGCGAACCCCCAGGATCAAGTCTATCCGCCTCAACAACAACAGTTCAAGAACAAGCCATATGTTGGCTTTAATCAAAAACAAGCTTTTCAACCTCAATCACACCCTTCAGGATTCCAACAGTACCCCACTAATGTGCACCCAGAACAAGATATTCAAACAACACTACATCAGCTTCTCCAAGCACAGAACAATAGCCGCCAGGAACACGCCAAGAAGTTAGCCGAGCTTCGCAGCGAGTTGCGTGAGTCTATACAAGAGCTCCACCAAAAGTTCGATTCTTTAAGCAAAAGGGTAGTTATCTTGGAAGGCAACCAACCCTCCACATCTTCTGGCCAACTCCCAGGAAAGTCTATCATGAACCCTAAAGAATTTGCTACTGCTCATGCGATTACTCTGGGAAAACCATTCCCAATTGTCACTGAGGACAGTGAGGTTCAAGAGGGGGAGGCAGCCCAAATTTATACCCTACACGGTGAACCCGATCGAGTCTATAACAGGCACGACCGTGCCAATGGTGAACCCGATCGAGTCTACCAAAGACTCGACCGATCCGATCAAAGGTACCATGAACCCGATCGAGCCAGATATCGTGTACGGTGCTTGTCTGACAAGTTGTGTGAATTAAGTTCCGACGAGCCTCTTCGCCCGATCAGAGCTACCAGCCCCAAGCCTTCAAATCGAAGACCATTACTCTACCCTGAAGAATCTAAGGCATAAATCAAAGAAGAATATAACCACATTCTCGATTCACTATCAAGGAAAGATCAGCTGAAGGCTTTGGTGGATGCTTTCGCCAACATTCCCTCCTACAGGGAGATTCTCAAAGAAGTCCTATTGGAAAGGATGCAGTAAAGGAAGAGTTGGATTCCACCCTCTCAAGATTCTGATTTCTCCAAGAAGATGGGGGATCCTGGAGCTTTCACACTCCCCTGCTCAATCCGATCAACGATCTTCAACGAGTGTTTATGCGACACGGGCACTTCGATTAGCTTGATGCCCCTCTCAATAGCTCAGCGGATGCGCTATACAACCTTTACACCATGCAGCTTGACGATTGTGATGGCGGACCGAAGCTCTAAGCAACCCGTAGGGGTATTGGAGGATCTCCTTGTTGAAGTTGGAGGAGTAAAGATTCCCACTGACTTTCTGATTCTCGAGATGGAAAGGGAACCTCAGTATCAACTAATTCTACGAAGACCATTTCTAGCCTCAGCAGGAGCAATTATTGATATGAGGATGGGGGTCATGACTCTTGATCTTGTTAGAGGGACGAGGATGAAGATTAATATGGCGTATCCGCACCAAAGTACAACGTTCAAAATAGAAGAAACCTCGACCTCTTCTCCAACTTGTGTTGAGCTCCAGGAGATCAAGACTCTCAAGAAAGACTTAAGTTGGCTAGTAACCACTATTCAGGGATTAACCAAGGAAATTGTGATGTTGAAGAAGAAGAACGACATCTTGACTTCTAGGAAAGCAAAGAGGGTATTTACTTTCAAGAAGAGACATGCTGCAAGGAAGAAGTATAAGATACATTGGTCATTAGCATTGGAGAGAATGGTGTTACCTCTCCATTACTCAAACACTTCGTGAGGATTATACCAAGTCAAGCTTAGCGACTATAAACAAGCTCACTTGGGAGGAAGTCCCAAAGGTATCCCTGTACATAATTCTTTAAGTTTTTTAAATTTGATGTTCTTTTTAGTTTGATGTGTTTTCAGGTTTGAATGTGAGTAAGGAAAGGTGTTTTGGGCCAATATAAGGGAAGGATGAAGAAAGAGTCAATTTTGGCTTTAAAAGCCCAATTTCGCAAGCCCATTCCACCGAGTCAACACTCACACGGACGCGTCAACGCAATTCGATCGAGTCAATCTCAACCGTCCGATCAAGTCAATCTGAGCTACCCAATCGGGTTCATCTCAGCCGTCCGATCGGGTCAAAGGTAACGGTCGGGTCAATGGTCAGCTCAATTTGAAATTCAAATTTTGAACCAAGCCCGACCAAAAACGCTCCTCTTTCAGATTTTTGTCCCTTCTCACCCTCTTTATAACACCCAAACTCGACCAAATCCTCTCTCACTCTCTCATTTTGCTAAAAAATCATTTATCTCTCTAGAATTCTCTCTTCCTTCTCTCTTGGTTCTTGGTTGCTAAAATTTCTGGGTTTGATTTCATTTGCCCCTTGTTCCTCTCATTCTCTGGTTTGTTGATAAACTTGCTTTCGATTCTTCACATTTTCTGGGTTTGTTTGTGTGTGTACCGAATCGTATATACGAACAACAAAACCAGGCTCATCTCCTTCTTGAGATGCACGAACTCTCCAAAGACATCCTTCAACCCACCACGTAATATTCACTACAGTCGTATTTGATTTTGGTACTGAAAAATCAAATCCATCTCTCACCGCAAGAAGTTTCACTCGTTTCTCCAACTCGTTTTTGCTCGCGTATCGTTGTCCTACGACGAGGTTTAGCTTAGCCATCTCCACCATAAAGACTCCGAGTTCCCAATCGATCCCACTTTGCCAAAGTAATGACCTCTGTTTTGAGTAGCAGCCGGTAAATCTTCATCTTTCGCCTCAGGCTCGCCGTATTTATACTAAAGGCAGGAAGCACTGAAACACAAAAAGACAAATTACAAAGTCGGTTTAAAGAGAGCTCGGTCGGGTGCTTGTTGGGCTCGTTCGGGTCCTCTCTCGGCTTGTCCGTGTTCAGCTTCCTCTTGTGAGTCCGGGTGCTTGATCGTGCCCGCTTGGTCGGGCTGGAAACACTCGATCAGGTCCCTACTTTGCAGTGTCCGAGTGTACCTGTTTTTGCTCTAAAATGCAGATGATATGCAAATCCCTATGCTAAAGATCCTAGATGCAAAATATAATGCAAAGAGACAAGAAATCCTAAGAAGTAGAGATCTAGACATGCAAATAATGAACAAAACATAAGCTTAAAAGTATAAAAATATAGGGTTATCAAATGCCTCTGTAAAATCAGCCATCCGAAAATACCTAGCCGCTTTTTTCACAAGTGGGAACAAATGTTTCCCTTTGAACTTCACCAATATGTTCTTGTACAAATGATAAGTGCAAATTCCACGAGAAGCCAACGGATACACTTCACCAATTGCTTTCCCTATTGACTTATGTCTGTCCGAGATGATCGCAAGATTCCTCTCGTCTGGAATAGCAACTTTGAGTTGCCTAAAAAACCAACGCCAAGAATCATCATTTTCAGTGTCAACAACTGCGAAAACTATTGGGAAAATTTGGAAATTTCCATCCTGAGCTAGGGCTGTTAGAAGCGTCCCTTTGTAACTACCGTGGAGAAACGTACCATCAACGACAACAACTTTCCGCATGTAAGCAAACCCAGCAACACTCGCACCAAAAGCAATGAAGACATACTTGAATTTGTCACACTCATCAATTTGAAGACGCGTTATTGTACCCGGATTTGCACGTCTTATCGTGTATAGGTAGGAAGGCAATTCTCTAAAACTTCCCTAAGGAGTTCCCATATCGATCTGTCTTGCAAACCTTAGCGTCTAGTATGACTTCCAATAATCCATCTGTTGGCACCAATATAATAATATGTCAGTCCTAACTATATATAAGTCAGCCGACACATAAATGAAAACTCAGCCGTATCGTAATGATAACTCAGCCGTAACTATATATAAGTCAGCCGACACATAAATGAAAACTCAGCCGTATCGTAATGATAACTCAGCCTTAAAGGAAAGAAAACTCAACGCAACTCAGCCGTATCGTAATGAGAACTCAGCCGTAAATGAACGAAAACTCAGCCGTGACTCAAATATAAATCAGCCGTGACATAGTAATTACCTTTATGCTTAAATGCTTACTGATGATAATTCCAACACTTTTAGGTTTAACTAACGGACCAATGTCACCAAGAAAGTTCCTGTAAAGAGGTCCCAAAACATCAGGTGTTGCTTGTTTGGATCGATTAGATCTCTCCGTCACAGAACATGTGTGTACCGAATCGTATATACGAACAACAAAACCAGGCTCATCTCCTTCTTGAGATGCACGAACTCTCCAAAGACATCCTTCAACCCACCACGTAATATTCACTACAGTCGTATTTGATTTTGGTACTGAAAAATCAAATCCATCTCTCACCGCAAGAAGTTTCACTCGTTTCTCCAACTCGTTTTTGCTCGCGTATCGTTGTTCTACGACGAGGTTTAGCTTAGCCATCTCCACCGTTAAAGACTCCGAGTTCCCAATCGATCCCACTTTGCCAAAGTAATGACCTCTGTTTTGAGTAGCAGCCGGTAAATGCTCATCTTTCTCCTCAGGCTCGCCGTATACAGTAAAGTTATCATCATCAGATGACGCACTATCGGAGTCGTCGAAAACGTCAAATCAGGTATAAAACTCGTCATTTTCTTGTTCATCCTCTGATTCGTACTCTGCTTCATCTTCTTTGACTTCATCTTCTAGGTTTTCACTATAATCATAACAGAAACCATCAAATCCTCTTGCGTCTTCATATGTAGATTCTACTTCTGAAGCTGAACTGCGTGGCCGTTTCGTCCTTCTATTCAATCCGTCCTTCATCTTCGCAAACTCAACACAAAGTCGTAGCTGATTGATTGTCAACAAGCTTAGATAACACTGCAACTATCGATCATTCGAGACATATATTAGGGGAGTATCATGCGACATATGTTTCATACGTTTGTACGAGAGTATGTAGCTCATCGTTACCTTGTGGCTCAACTCATGCAGTCCGTAGTCATCAAGAATCAATTTCACTAGCTTCTTGTGCGTTGTTTCCGCATCTATCTACACAACTGTACAACCTCTATCGTCGGTGTTAAATACATATTTCTGTTTCTTTTCCCAATTACCAGACACAACAATTACTGGAACCGGATGATCCATCAACGAAAATGAAGAACAGACGTGAAGAACAGAAGTGAAAATGAAGAACATAAGTGAAAATGAAGAACATAAGTGAAAATGAAGAACATAAGTGAAAATGAAGAACAAAAGTGAAAATGAAGAACATAAGTGAAGTGAAGAACAGAAAATGAAGAACAGAGTGTAAGAAAAAATACGAGCTAATGGGGGACCTTTCGTATTTCCCTCGTTTATGCTGACGTGGAATTGTGCATTTGAAGTCGTAAGTTAGCCACCAAACAAATTTTTAACTCAGCCAAAATAAATCAGCCATCAACACAAATTAAATCAGCCACAACATGAAAAATATTTAAGTAATTACTAAAATGTTTTTTAAGATGCCAAATTCAGACGTAACGTCAATAAGTCAGCCGTAACGTCAAATAAGTCAGCCGTAACTGGAGGCTATATTAGGAATAAATCTCTTGTCAATAAGTCAGCCGTAACATGGTTGAGTTTTCTGTTAAGTCAGCCAATTACGACTGAGTTATGTTTCTGAAACATAAGTCAGCCGTAACGACATTTGATAACTCAGCCGTTGTCGATAACTCAGCCAACCGGAGAAAGTTAGGTCAGCCGTGTCGATAACATAACTCAGCCAAACTTCTGATAACTCAACCATCGGACTATAACTCAGCCGTAACGGCGGCTGAGTTATTAGCCGTTTTCTCTTAACTCAACCAGATTTTTATAAGTCTGTCGTAACTGTTGGCTGAGTTATGATCGTAAGTCAACCGTTGACCCGAAACTCAGCCGTTATCCCAGAACTCAGCCATAACGTGATATAACTCAGCCGTAACGTACGTTATGGCTGAGTTATTGGTGGCACGCGCCTTTTTGTCTGACGTGGCAGTAGCATTTTTCGTAATTAGTTTTTTCCGGTAACGTGTAAAAAGGGAACGCTGGTAATTAAAAAACATCTAAGGATAAAAAAAAGTTTTGGAAGGTTTCCGTCAATACACCTAAAATGTAGTCCATCTAAGTAATTCTTTCTTTTTAATATGTTATTCTTGTGATTATTACCGGATTATGATAGATATACGAAGAAATTTTCGATTTCGAACCTAAAACTAAAATGAAAACGAATTAATTGATAGATCTCAATTTTTATTATCAAATTAAGGTAAAATCACGGAGGACCAGCTTATGGAACAGCTCTGTTTACGTTGTCTATTTTCTACTTTTTATTTTTTTATATCGATCTTTTCGTGTTGGATCGAATATGGAATAGATAGAGTAGTAAGAATCTAGTCTTATTATGTTTTATCACTACTGTATCTGGACAAAGAGACTGAAATTGGTTTTTCTGCGTTTAATCGTAAACTATCTGTTATTCCTTTAGACGACCGTATGTTTAACGGGTGTATAGTCTGTTTACAGTAAACACGCTAAAACCCCTTTAACCGGGTCACGTTTAATAGGTTTATTACTCCGTCCCTCTAAAACATATATACGACGAAACTTTTTAAAAGAAAATTTTCATTTTGATATGTTGAATAAGTAGTTTTTCACAAAATAGGAAAATGTTGAGTAAGGAGCGATAAATTCAAGGGAACAAATGTATCCTCATCTTCTTCCTCTTTCAATCGACTGCAATCTTAATATTGGTCCCCCTCCTAACTTTCTTTAAGTTTTTCTCAGTCTTTAATATGCTATTCTTGTGATTATTACCGGATTATGATAGAGCTACAATGAAATTTTCATATCCGAACCTAATCAATGATCAAAGTCAATGATTAATATATTTTTTTCACTATCCATTACTCATTTATAATCTGTTATTTCTTGAATTTATTTATAATTTATAAAATTAAAGAGCTTTTCTTAAGGTCGGTTAATTGATAAAGGTTGTTATATGAGACTTATCACCACACATATCAAAACCTTTCTTAAATGGGTTTTTATCACTACAGTATGTGGATTAAGAGACTAAACGACCTGTTATGCCATTGAACGACCTTAAGTTTAATGGGTGTATAGACTGTTTACATTAAACGAGCTAAAACGCTTTGAAACGGGGTCTCGTTTAATGGGGTTATTACTCCGTCCTTCTAGAACATGATATACGCTGAAACTTAAAAATCATTTTTATCATTTGATATGTTGAATAAGTAGTTTTTCACAAAAAAGGAAAATGTTGAATAAGGAGCGATAAATTGAAGGGAACAAATATATCATCATCTTCTTCCTCTTTAATTCGACTGCAATCTTAATTTTGGTCTGCCTCCTAAATTTCTTTATGTTTTTCTCAGTTTTTAATATGCTATTCTTGTGATTATTATCGGATTATGATAGATCTACAAAGATTTTTTTGATTTGGAACCTAAAACTAAAATGAAAACGAATTAATTTATAGATCTCCGATTTTTTATATCAAATTAAGGTAAAATCTCGGTGGAACAGCTTATGGAACAGCTCTGTTTTCAATGTAACTTTTCTACTCTTTATGTTTTATATCTATCTTTCGTGTTGGATCTTATATAGAATAGATATAGTAGTAAGAATCTATTCGGTCGTATGTTTTATCACTACCGTATCTGGACAAAGAGACTGAAATGGATTTTTCTGCGTTTAATCATAAACGATCTATTATGTCTTTAAACGACCGTATGTTTAATGGGTGTATAGTCTGTTTCCAGTAAAAGCGCTAAAACACCTTTAACCGGGGTCCCGGTTAATGGGTTTATTACTCTGTCCTTCTAGAACATATATACAACGAAACTTAAAAATCATTTTTTTATTTTGATATGTTGAATAAGTAGTTTTTCACAAAAAAAAAACGGAAAATGTTGAATAATGAGCGATAAATTCAAGGGAACAAATATATCTTCATCTTCTTCCTCTTTCAATCGACTGCAATCTTAATTTTGGCCCGCTTCCTAACTTTCTTTAAGTTTTTCTCCGTTTTTAATATGCTATTCTTGAGATTATTACCGGATTATGATAGATCTACGAGGTTGTAAGAACAGTGTTTCTAAACAAGACAAGTCAAAAATTCAATGTAAGCTCACCAAAGATATGACTTCTCCAAGATAACACAAGGCACATAATCCAATTCTTATTCCTCTATAAGATTCTATGTATTAGCAAGTCAGGAATCTAGAAGCAGAAAATCTATGCTTGAGAGTTTTGATACAGTGAATTCACGGAGTCAACATGCTTATCATGACAGAAACTCGCCATGCGTAACTACTCAGAGTCACTGGGCAGTCTTCCCGCAACCAGACAAACAACCGCGAGCATTACTGCCCCTGAGCGTGCTGTCTGATCTAGACCCCCGCGTGAACTAAGTCGATCACCGAGACTAAGTTATACAGAAACAATGAAATCATGACAAGAAAACAATCGGACAATCAAAGCAACATGATAGGTTTAAGATCAGAGATAGGAAGAACACAAGACACAAGTTGTTTAATGGGTAGTTATGACTACCTCTTTTTTGGCTTTTCTTGATATATATATGAAAAACATCCTACATAACTAGAACTATTGAGTCCTAGCAGGATAAGGAGAGAAGTAAACAGATAACAACGATCCTAAAACACCAATATCTTTTTGTAAAAGAAAGATCAAAATCGAAAACAAAACCGTAAAACAAAAACAACCTCAATAGACATATCGAGGATTTGGCCTTCTTGCTCGTATGGGCCTAGAGTGACTCTCAAGCCCATTAATACCCTCCCCTCGAACAATAACCTTGTCCGCAAGGTTCGGAACAAAGTCTGGGAAACTCGCCTAAACACTACAAGAAAACAAGCGTTTTGGGACTCCGGAAAACGTCACAAAACAGTCGCAAAATGATGGTTTGCGACTGTTGCCCGACTAAATAAAACCGTCCCAAAAAAACGGTCGCTAAATTTTCCAGTTGCTTAATGGTCGCACATTTGCGACAACATTCCGACTGTATATTATCGTCGTATTTAAACAACGATTTTGAGACTGCTAGAAGTAGTAGCACATTTATGACTAAAACGCGACGTATAATATAAACGACGTTTTTGTGACTGACAAGATCGTCCCGTATTAAAGACGACTTCGACACTAAACTATAGTCCAATGTTGAGACGTTTTAATGACTAAAATGGTACTGTCCATTGTATTTTGTGCTTGGCATTTAAAAATATTTCGTCCCAAATGTGTCCGAGATAATGAGAGTTTTAGTGACAAACGAGTCGCAAATAAGTCTTTAAATTTTGTGACTACTCTAAGACTGTTGGTTTAGTCTCAACTATGTTTCATATTAGTATCCACTATGCGACTAGTTTTGGAGATATTTTATAGTTTGGTTTAGTAGCAAAATAGTCACAGTTATACGAAACTCTTTTAGTCGCAATCTAGTCTCAAATTTATAATTGTTTTGGTCACAAATTGGTCAGTATTAGGGATTTCTAAACCTGTAAAATATCGAATTTGAAATGCAATTAATTATAGAAAACGACTATTAAAAACACTAATCATACCAAAATATCATCCTAATCATAACAAAAGATCATCCTAATTAAGTTTACAAATCCATACATTCACCAAATTAGCAAATCAAGTTCATAAGTTGGAAGAAGTGTTAGAAAGAGGGGAATTGGCAGCTGAAGTGGAGGCTGGTGTGGTTCCAGATCCTGTGGCTGCAGGTGTGGTTCCTGATCCTGTGGCTGCAGCAG